TTGTGGCCACAAAACCAGTCCATTGTGTCATTTCTGTCCATTAAAATAGAGGCTTACAATCAGACTCTTACTAAAGAAATATGTGGCATATTCATATTTTATGCCATGCTTTTAAGTGTAGAGAAGGATAGGCAACATTTGGTGCATAAATATCTGATTTCTCAAATAGCCAACCGTATTTGTTGTAGATGAGGAGAAGAAACTAAGTAATGACAAAGCAAACGACATTTGTGATTTATGCGTCGTCTGTTTATTTAATGAGTTAGGAATACCCAGTCTGTCCTAGTCTGTCCCCATCTCTTAAGGAAAAACAGAATTTTAATGTTAACTATAGCCACTTGGGAGATTAAGTTTTCGGCAGAGCTAAACTGATGAATGTTTTGAAGCAGTAGCAGAAAATAAAAAACAACTCCATGGGGCAGGGGATGGACTTTATGTAAACATAATTTTAACCTGTGTTTTAAGGATTTATATGTTTTTAAAACAAACAGATGGCATCATCCAGGTTTAAAGATACACTCGGCTTCATTTAGCTTGGGAATCTTGCTATCTCCCAAGTGTTAAGGATTCAGAAGTGAAAATTGCTGAGCGAATGTGAGAAGTTAACTTGTGTGGCCAGTTCATTCCTCTGTATCAAACAATAAAATACTTATATGTAATCAAGAGATGCTAACAGTAGTATGAAAGTAACCATGTGCACCTGAGGTCGGTAAATTGTAACACAATTTCCATGCCTTTACGGGTATAAAATATTCAAATTAATCTATAGAACCATATGACCCTGCAGTCAGCACTTCCAATTCCAGTTCCTGTGCAGAAATGTTAACTTGGTCAACAGTAGTTCAGCTGCCGGCTGTGTTCAGAATTTTGTATTACTAATAAGGAAAGACTGCTAGGGGGAGATAGAAGCTAGAGACTTTGGTACTGAAATAAATAATAAACAGACCACATAGAGATTTCAGGACCAAATGAAGCAGTATTACAATCTGATACAAAGTGACAATTAAAACTGTATGTGAAATTTTAAGACAAATGCACTACAGTGTCAGTCACAGATTTAACTTACAGGAGCAGTCTTCCTATCAGAAGAATTTTGATGCCAGGAGGAAAGAGATGAGTTTTCCCAAAGAGGCAGAGACGGGCAGGTGTGCTCACTGCGCCCCGTCCAGCTGGCTCATGTAGACACCGTGCAGTTGGTCCTCCCCTGGCTTCGCCTTTGACCTCACTGTAAGACGCTCTTAGCGTAATACCAGACATAACTCAGAGCTCACTCTCTGCTTTCCGGGATCACTGCGCAAGCAGACTGCTCACCTGAGCTCGTCCTGAGTGAGATGCTGATCTCTGCCTTTGTCCTGTTCTTCCTCTCCGATTGTGGATAGGGACATTTTGTCCTTTGTGTTCAGGTTATGGTGCCTTCAGGCTATGTTAGCTATTGTTATTCACTGATTATTTTATTATGAGAAGCTTTTATAGAAGAGGGCTTTTTTATATTTTCTTTATTAATACCTACATGTATTAACATTGAATTTTTAAGAGGTTTTAAAACGCCAGTGTCCTGGTGCACTGGCAAGGCCTGAGTGCTGATCTATGTGCATGTCTGGCATGCAGTGGGCTCCGCAGAAACATTCGTCCTCGTCCCTCTCCAGATCACTGAAGCCACTTCTGTATTACCAGAGAATTTGATAAAGGGCATTGCCCACATTTTACAATCAAATACAGTGCATACTCAGAAGTGGAGCACTTGGTGTGTTGGGAGTCAGTGTCGTCTGCAGATGTGTGGTCTCCTAGTGGCCATGTACTATAAAGAAGGATCTGAAATGGCCCAGGGTTCCACTGGGCCTTTGGCCTCTGTTGCTCCTTGACACTATCTCCTGCTGATGTGCTGGGTAACTGATGAACAGCGCAGGAGGAGCTGGAGCGGGCCCAGTTTACCAGGCAGCCAAAGGACTTGAATGGCGGAGACCCTCACCTGCACAAGCCACTTCTGAGGCCTGGTGTCTAATTTTTATTTGTAATTTACATTCTTTTCTTTAAAGAGAGCTCTTTAAATTTGATCATCTATGCACCCCACAAAACCTGGATCCCCTGCCACTGAACTACCATGTTCAAGAAAACAAATCAATATGACTTTAAAAGGAAAAGGTGGCCAGTAGCCGCAGTGTAAATTTTGCTTTCACTGCCCATATCTTAGTTCCTTTTTTCATTACAGGGACAAAATACCTGATACCCGCAAGATAAAGGAGGAAAGGTTTATTTCAGCTCACAGTAGAGGTTTCAGTTCATATTCAGCTGGTTCCAAGACAGGCCAGCATGGCCGAGGGGCATCACAGAGCAGAAACAGTTCATGGTGTGGTGGGCAGAAGGCACCCAAGCAGCAGCAGCAGGGGATCCAAGTCTCCCATTTCCAGCTTGTCCCATCCGGGGTACAATCCTTTTGGGTGGTGCCACCTATACCTGGGGTGGTCCTTCCCATTATCCACACCTAGGACTATGCTAATTCCGATCAGTGGACTACTTTAGTACCACACCCTTAATCTCAGTATCACACACCCTAGATCCAACCATCTCTGAAAAGCCCCATCTATGAGCACGTGAGCCTACATCATGATTTGTTAGTAAGCCTGGAGCAGAGGCTCAGATGCCTTTGGCCACAGGCTCCTTCTTACCTATCTGAGAGGTGCTGCCTGGTCCACACCAGCCCAAAAAAGGGAGAAAGAGGACCACCTGGCAAGGAAGGGGTTGCAGTTGCATTACCCAGAGGTAATTTGTAAGTGGAGAAGGGAGAAGGGAAGATCCAAACTGACTGTATATCAATCTGACTCCGTGTGTGCTGGCCATGCTCCAGACTGTTGTTTTACACTGCATGGAAAGGAGCGTCATTGAAATTGTCACTGGGGAGAAGGGAAATGACTTTGTTGTAAGCAGCTGTAGGAGCTAGACCTAAAACAGGCCTCTTAAATTTGAAGGCTGTGCTCTCAGACTCCCTACAAGCTGGGCTTACTGTAAGAGCCACTCAGCCACCAGGGCCAAGTCCTCCTTTAAACACAATTCACTTAACAGTTCTGAATTCCTATGGGCCTGCTGGCCACTCACCAGTCCTTTTTTTCTTGTTCATTCATTCATCTGAGTGGTAAGTACTCACCCGCAATATGCTGCCCTCTATTTGATTGTCGCTTCTCTGAAATTGTCAAAATCCCCACAGACTCTTTAGATGGCTAGGCAGGTAGACAGAGGATGAGCGACTAACAGATTCGTGCATGTGTGTTTTTCGAATGAAAATTTTACCATTGCTATGGGTAGCATCTGCCATTTCAGTCTCACAAGTCCTGTTTAAATTCATATTGTTTCTTTAAATTGGAGTTTAAGGAGATGTAAAAGGAATTAAGATATGTTATGTGTACCAACTCTCTACGATGAATATAGTCATTATGTACTACAAACATGTACCAATAATAGTAAAATATTTAATGCAGTTTAATCACAAAACCGCAATGCTGCATATGATCTAGAGTTAATAACTTCAAAATTTGTATACCTGAAACCTGTACAATAAGCTCGTTTTGAAATGAGTAATTTTCTTTATCTCTCAACTTTTTTAATTTCCCTCTTCACAAGATCTCCTTTTTTCCTGGATGATTTTACCCCATCTCTATAATCACTGACCCAACTTTTCAAAAAAGCAATTGTAGCTACATTTCTGCCAGAGTTCACAGCATTACACCGTGCATTAGGCGAAGAGCATAATTGCAAATGAAACATGAGGAGCTGTAAACTCTGGCCCAGGCGTAATGAACGAGAGGCAGACAGACTGTGGAGGGTGTTACTCTGGGTTAACCGTACAGTTCCCAGTTGTATTAAAGCATTCACTGTCACACAGTTATTAAGCAGAATTATGGATAGAAGCTTACTGTGTGAGATTAAAATTTCTAAGAATTCATATGTTTAAATACATCTATATACACAGCCATATGTATGGCATATACACTCCATTATATGCATTTCATTACGTATAATGGAACAGGTACTCAGGTGCACTTGCTGTAAATATATGTGAACAAGTAGAGATGTAGCTGCCTGTGGTGAGCACCCGCTCTGTAGCAAGATGGGAAGACCGTGGGCGATCCCGCTCCGTCCACCTGAGAACGGGGCGGTGGAATCAGAGGACTTCCTGTGATGCGGTGGTGCTAAGTAAGGTTACGTTCTCTTTCTTGATTATTCACCGGACAGCGTGCGCATATCTGCGTGCAAGGTGGCCCCGGTTTGTGTACAGTATGACTGCGCGCACACACGGTTACATTCCAAGGAGCAGTAGTGGGATGGCCACGGGGCCTGGGCGTGAGACAGTGCCCTCCCCTTGGGTTAGGAAGGGTCGTCCAGGAGTACGGCGCTTGTTGCGTCAGGGGCGAAGCTTCAGTTAGGGATAACCCGGCTGTAACAGAAAGGTGCTTGACTGCAGGGAGAACAGGGTCCTGTAAATAGTGTACTTACAAATCCTACTGCAGTGAGCAGTGAGATGGTGATGCAGATGCGTGTACGTCTGCTACCGTGCGCCCTTCAGAGAGGTTTCTGCCCCTTGATAACTTACTCACAAAAGCTCCACATGCTCCCTTCTCTTCAGGAATACTCTCCCAAGCCACCCGTCCTTGCCGATCAGAGCTTGCAGAAAATACACTTCCACAGCATTCCACATTGTCTCCTAACCACTGAGCCAGGTGTATGTCAGGAAAGACAAATGAACCTTCCCTGGTAGCATTGTTGATATGTTGGCCAACACAAGGCAACTCCACCGTGAGTACGTGAAGTGTTACTGAGCTTTGCATGCACAAAAGTATTCGGTAAAGATCGAATCTTGGAGGTTGCGACTATAAGCAAATCAGCAGCCTCAGGAGTGCCCACAAGACTTTCATTTTGGTGAAATTTTCAAGTGTTGTTCCATCAAATTTGCCAGATTTCACTTTCTAAGAGCTTTGGTAACCTTTCCTTATCTTTCTCCGGTGCAGATCCACATCCAGAAAACCGAAGGTTGTGACCACATGACCTGTTCCCAGTGCAACACTAATTTTTGTTACCGGTGTGGGGAGAGATACCGCCAGCTCCGGTTTTTTGGAGACCACACATCAAACCTCAGTATATTTGGATGCAAATATCGCTACCTCCCAGAGAGACCCCATTTACGGAGACTAGTGCGAGGGTCAGTCTGTGGTGAGTGTCCCACGTGCCGATGGGAGTCCTCTCTAAGAAGGAATGAAGTTGCAATAACAGAACTTGGAAATGTCCATGATTCTGAGCACTTGCTATAGGCTGGGAGTTCTCCTAGGAACTTTATCCCAAAGCAGGAGAATAGCTAGCTCTCTGTCTGTCTGTCTCCCCCACACACTCCCCTCCCCCTCCCCCTCTCCCTCTCCCTCTCCCTCTCTTTCTCTGATCAAACTTGAAAGCTTCACCCCGGAGCAGTGGCAAGCATCTGTCACCCCAGCCACTAGGAACTTGAGGCAGGAGGATTGCTTGAATTCCAGTTTGAGACCGGACTGCGCAATATACTAAGACCCCCCCGCAAATCAAAGCAAAAACAAAAATATTTTTTTAAATTGAAAAAGTTGTTAGCAAGATACTACTTATATTGTTAAGCAGATTTTGTTTGAAAAGTGAATTATTAATTACATTGCAGAAATTTGAAGTCATTTTAAATTTCTGAAGCCCTGATTGTAAACTAACTACTTGATAACTAGAACAGTGTCTCATTGATTTTTGTGGGGCGGCATCGAGGAGCATGTTTTATATCCAACCTCATTTCATTCGTGAAGTACCTGCAGTACCTACCACACGACATGGAACCCAGTCCAGAGAGACCAAAAAGAAAAAGACAATAGCACCACATATGTTTCAGAGTCCTAGTGGAGTTCCGCCATACCCAAATAGTTGGTGTTATTGTGTGTATTTTTCTAATGTATTAATCATAATAACAGTGAGCAGTGAAGGGAATGAGTATCAGAAGCACCCAGTCCATAGATACCCATGTTTAGTTACCCAAGTGTAATCACTTTTGGGGGTTGACTTTTTACCCTCTTTTCTTCAGGAACGTAGACTCACAAACAGCCCTTACACACACTCTCTCACACACACACACACACACTCAGAAATACGCAAACATAAACAGATACCTAGCTTTCCACTCGGTGAGCTAACCAGGTTTTATCCCTACCAACGCATATGTATTAGTCCTTTCATAATCTTTCAACATCTCAAAAATTGGAAAGAAATCTAAGAGAAAAGCACAAAAACGATTGGTCTTGGTAGAATAAATTGAGCCAGTCACTTTGGAATATGTTTTAGTTATAAAGAATCAGTGCTTTACAACACAGATCCCCACACCTTCAGTGATTGATTGTTCCTTAGGTGAAGCCCCATGATGAATTTACGCGTGTGTATCTGTCCTGCATTCGATATATTTCTTAGAGAAATGTGGCCTTAATTGTAATCGATCTTATTAAAAAGTAACATTTGGTATGGTTTTTAAAAGTGTTGCTGTTATGTTTCATAAATTTGTTTGGAGACTCTTCATTTTTTCTTCTGTTTTCCAGCTGGAAAATTGTTCATTGCACCTCTAATCCTGGTTTTGGGATTAGCACTAGGGGCCATAGCAGTTGTAATCGGTAAGAAATACTGAATGTATCTGAGATTGGGAGTCTTGGGGCCATAGACAGTGTGAGCATAAATATAACAGTGGGAGTCATGTATTGAGGGCACATAGTTCCTGTCCCATACGTGCTATAGATACCCGTCCAGCATGTGATTTATAAATTCGGAGGAGCATATTTCCTGTAGGATGTGTTCGACTCATGGATACTTTGTGTCAGCCTATGGATACTTTGATTTGTGTGTCTTCTAAAGCATTATTATGTTGGTCCACTTTTAATACCAAATTAATGCAACTTCAGTGAAAAAGTCGAGTGAACTAGACTTCAGATTTTCAATTCTGAATTTAAACTGGACCATAGAAGAAAAGAGGCTGTCTTGTACTGCTAAGTCTTTGGGTTGGTCTAGTGAAAGACATCTTGCATGAAAAGGTCACCTGTAATGTATATTATACATTGTATGCATTGTACACCCAACATGTACTGAAGCATGGGCCAATAGACATCTTACCAATAATTTGTATACTTCCATGCATATAAGCATATTAAATTACGTATTTTAAAGGAGTAGTTCCTCAGATTTTAGCACACTGTAGAATAACCACAGGGCTGGTGAAAACACAGATCACTGCTCCTCGCCCTCCGTTCCTGACTCAGTGTGGGGTGTGGCCTGGGGATCTGCATTTCTAGGAAGTTCTCAGGTCCTGCCTGCTGCATTCCCAAGGTCTGAAGGCCACATTTGGGTAGAGCAGCTGCTTTGGTGATTGTTCTACATAGTGGATGGGATTTTTTTTTTTGTCTAAAATAATTTTCGTATGTAAGCTCCTATTTAGCACCTAATGCTTGTGCAGGCTGGATAGAATTACGAAGTACCCAGTAGTGACACTCTTGCTGTGAATCAGGACTTTTGGGAGTAGATATTATTATCTGCATTTTATACATGCGGAAATTAAGGTTTGTTGGCTGTCATAAGCCATAAAACCCGGGACTCACGCCTGGCATGAGGCTTCTCGTCCGCATTCTGAAGGGGCTGCCACGCTGCCCTCAGAAGTGTGAGAACCGCGCAGCCCGCGCGTGACGTGACCAGGTCCTGAGGCTTGATACCTTGGTAGAAGTGTTATTCCATATTTAAACTGGTACCACTGAGGCTGTTAGAAAGGGAGGGGCACGGAAGCAAAGTAACAAAGAACGAAGTTTTATAGAAATAAGTGCATCTTGTAGCTACCTCCCCTCTTCTCTGTGCAGTGCTAAATAATGATTATTTCTGAGGAGTTTGCAAATAAACTAATGTGGGAATTTTCAAATATATAACCCTGAATATCTCTCCTTCTAATGACCTGTCTTTATTTTTTATCCCTAGGGTTATTTGTATTTCCCATCTATTGCCTTTGTAAAAAACAGAGAAAGCGGTCTCGGACTGGAATGGACTAGCGGAGTGCAGACGACTTCACCTGATTGGCTGCGTCCCACCCAGGAGGAGCCTCTGCCATCCTCCGAGGCCCTTGAGGCCACAAGGCCTCTAGCTACGGTGCACTCCCACCATGGTGTCCCACCCTTTCCTAAACCAATTGCTGCTTTTCAAAAATGGTCACTTTCATAAACTACGAGTACCTATATCATAGCTCTGACCTTTGTGGTTCTTGGAAGAAAATATTTTAATTGAGAACCAGTCATCCTCAGCATTGTTCTGAGGGCGGATCTCCTGAGGGTTGCTTGGACTGTCGTTGAGCCCTGAGCCTTCCGGCCTGTCCGTGAGACTCCGTGTGAATGGTGACGTCCTGTCTGTCGCAACAAGTGAGGCCACTTTCCAGAATCCACAGGTTCACTGAAAGCGCCTGTTATTATGAGTGGCCCAAGCAGTAGAATTCCTTCCTCCTTCGGATACTGTAATTGCTAAAAATTTCCGTGCCCAAAAGGGAGCTGATGAAACTAAATGAACAAGAAGACTCGTGAGTCACTGCAGTGTGTGTGTGTAGGGTTGTGAATGTGTGTGTCTATAAGTATCTATTAAAACAGAGCTCAGTTACCTTGTGCTTATCTATTTCTATGCCTCTACACTGTTTTTTCACATTTTCATAAAACTATTTAGAGTTTATGGTTCCGCTGTGGGCATAATTTGGGGTTGTAGTAAATTAAAGCCAATGTAGCCAACAGGCTGTTTCAGTGGTGACCGTTGCTATTGTAAACTGAAAATACAGGATGCTTTTAGGAAATTCTCAAGTCCCAAAGAGTCAGTATTTTCAGATTTCTTATATTTTGGCATAAATGTTCTACTCTATAAATAAGTATTTCATATGAGATTATTTAATCTAGAGAACAAGTTTGCTCTAGCTCTATTCCACTATTTTTTAAATTACCAGCTTATAATTATAGAAAACTTCTCTTTAGGTCGAAGTTTTAAATTATTTAATACCCCAGCCTCTTCTCTTTGTTTATTTGTTCCCAAGTTTTTCATGAAAATAAATATTAGTCTTGAAGGATTTTTCTTATGTTTACTGCTCAGATGCATAATAATTTGGGGAACCTTTTTATGGGGGGGTAATTTAAAAACAAAATTTTCTTTGTTCACAGATTCATTTAAAATATAAACTATTTTTAGAGAAGGAAACCAAAAAATTAAAAATTATTTTCAGGCTATTTCCTAAGGTGTGAATTCTTTGAAAATAAAAGGACAATTAATGAATATTCTTTTGTTTTCATCACCAAAGCTCAACAACTTCTATTGGAAGAAAAAGTCCCTGAAAAGCCTAACATTCCCAGGTATCTCCAGTCTCAAAATTAACTGTCTGCTTAAAAGTACAGTTAATTTGTCAGCAACCTCATCAGACTTGAAATAGATTGCATGGTAAAACACACATTGACGTGAGTAGGTTCAGTTGTCTTGGGCTCCAGAATGTTAAAATATTGTATCATTTTTGTTTGCCCTTCAAGTCCCTGACAGTAACAGTTACTTGTGCACAAGCCAGCCTGCTTGCATTCTTTCTGAATCATAAGACATAGCTCCACAGCTTGTGGGCTGAGCGTGTGCTGCCGCCGGTTAGAGGAGGGCGTGGCATCTGTGTTTCTAGGGCATATCAGGAGCCCGGAAGAGGCGATGTTCCTGTTCACAAATTCCTTTTTCTGTCCGTCCATCTGACAGCTGTTTACTGAGGGCATGCTGTAGGTGGCTGCTGCAGTATTAAGCTGAAAGAAGGAATCTCTTATCTCAGATACATATGTCTGTCATAAAAGTGCTTAATCTTTTGAAATTCATCTTTGCTGGTTTTAGGCATCAGTTTGGTAGTGTACAAACACAAGGAATTCTCATGCTAGTGGATCTGTATATGTATCTCTGTAGCATAAAGATACCTAGACCAGTACTACATACCAAGTAGCTGACGATATATTCTGGTCATACATCATCTATTTTCTTAGGTTATTTTGTCTGTTGTCTTTGGCCTACTCAGGGATTTTTATTCCTTGTCTTTGAATAACTTATCTTTTAGACCTATTTTTATATGATTTGGAAAAATTTCCAATATACCACTTCCAAAAGCGCTGTCTGTCCCCAGTTGAAGCTGTTTGCACAATGTGTGAGAGACAGTGCCCTGTATTGCATGGGATTTTCATTTTCCTATTGCATAGATTTTAAAAATAAATATATGCATGTTTCCCTTTAAAGGTTGCTGGATATTAGGCTTTTCCCTGCTGGTAATTTAAAAGTAATTATTTGTGAATTTTTTTTACTAAATTTCAAGATCTTTAAAAGAGAGATGAAGAGAAAAAAGGATTATTTATATGTCAGTGCCAACTTTGAAGGTAAAACAGTAGTAACTTTTAGGATAAATTCTGAAAACAGAAATTTAGAAACAGATGTGTGCACATTAAATATATATCTTTCTATCCAAGGCTTGTCAGTTTTATATGTTTTTATTATAAATTTAATATATACTCCCTTAAAAATCAAGCTACATATAAATTATGAAATACAAACCCCTGTTTACCCTGCCTCTTATTTTATAGGGGTAGCCACTGTTAATGGTTTGGTATGTGTTCTTCCAAACATTTTCTAAAAATTTACAAATAAATGTGTGTGTTGTGTGTGCATCACATTTATTAGTTTTATACAAATTGAATAATAATATTCTTACTTTGCTGTGACTCTTACATTTCATTATATATTGATAGATACCTTTGCATAGAGTTTATATAGATTTACCTCACTCTTCTGTAAATGACCGCGTCATCCGCGGTAGGACTGCACTCTAACTGATTTGCTTTCCTGTCGAGTGGACACCAAGATGGTTTTACTTCCTTCTTACAAAGAGCCAGTGAACACCCTTTTTTCTATCTATTTTCACTTTGTGTGAGCACATCTGTAAGTTTTTTATTTGGTTTTTATCTGATGTTTTTAATAAAGAACTTAATGCGGGAATTTTCAGGAAATAAGATCGTAGAAATAAATGTATTTGATAGTGAAGGAAAGACTGTACAAGAAGTGTGAAAGTTTTAAAGAAAAGCATCTTTGGAAGGATAACTTCCTCCCTGCTTGGTTCACCAAATAAGTACCTTGCCAAAACATACATAAGAAAATTACTCGTTTTGCAATAAAAATAAAATCTCTTTCAGATGATGTGAGAAGGCTGAATTGATTTTTGGATTGCCTGCTCCTAAAACGTGAATCGTGCCAAATTGACAATCCTCGTCACATCTTTAAAAGCGTTGTCCAAGTCAGTGCGCTCTGCACCCCACCGGGACTTGATTGTGCCGTGCAGAGAAGCGGGAAACGGTGCGCGCACAATTCCAGGCGCCCGCAGAAAGACTCCGTAGGCTCGGTGGGAGGACCGCAGGTGATGGAACAGCCCTCGGCCTTCGTTCTGTCGTGAGTGTCACCCTCCCGCGGGATGGCTGCTTACAGAGTCGGAGAGGAGAGGCCCAGCGCTGGAGCACGGGCAGCATCCTGTTGCCACCACCTTTACCTTCCGACAGACAGGCACTGTTGGTCCTGAGAGGAGAACAGACAGTTGCGCACCTTCAGGCTAAGGCCAGGTCTGGGTTGCGCTTGCTTCGCGTGGGACGACTCCGTGGTGCTGTCAGGATGAGCCCTGCTCTGTGGCCTCGTCACTCGCTTCCAACTCCCTCACTGACCCTGTAGCTTTCCATCCCACCCCTGCCGTGGCACTAGTCCAGTTTGAACCTCGGCTAAACCATCCCAATTTCTCCCTTGTTAAACAGGCGCAGCTGTATTGACTTTCGACTTCTATGCTGCCTGGTGAATTGATAATTATAAAAATGCTAGTGGTCTAAATGAGATTCGTTGGTGTACTTCATTAAGTACGAACCTAAGAACATTCGTACCAAAAGCCATTTTAGGCTTTGTCTTCATAGAGGCAAGCAGCATATATTCCTTTAGTGTGAGCGTTCACATTGATAATTTGCTTATCCTTCTATATTTGTGGCTGAAATCCATCCCTGCAATTGTCATTTTCCCTGTGGTCAGCACCATGTTTTTGTGTTGCTGTTTATTATAGATACAGCCTTAAAATTCCATATTGTGCTTTAAAATACTTGTGGTATTTAAATACCTTAATGACATGCATAAAGCAACTAATACATACATGTTAACAGAATGGAGTAGAAGTGTTACCAAATATGTGTTCATCTCTTCAAATTTGTGGAGAATCAGTAGCTAAAAATTTGAAACAAGTAAAACATACCTGAAAAAAAATGCAGCGCTTTGTAAAATTATAGTAATCCTGGAAACTGGTTATCAACAGTTTGTTTGGAGCTCAAATATAATGACTAATACTTAACAGATGTTATTACCTGATAACTTAGTTGAGATGTTTCTTTAAAATACTATTAATTTCTATTAACGTCATTTACATAGTTTACAAATTTTATAAAAAGAAATTTCTCTGACCAGAAACATGGGAAATCAAGACCATTTGAACTTATTTTGTATTTTTCAACTCATTATAATTTAAGATGATGTTTTCCTTCCTAACATGGAAACTGAGTTCCAACATCACATGCTAATATGAATATCTACAATTTTTAGATATGCGTGTGAAATAATTTGATGAAGCTGAAATAATTTTGTATAGTCATAAAAGTACAATCTGCACAAAATCAAGAGTTCCAAAATTTAGGAAATATCCGAGATGTGAAGTGTTGCATTTTGTGTGCAAAAGAGCAGTACAGACAGCCCTGGAATGGAGGATCGAACCGAGTATTGTGCCAAATCCCGCCTCCCTCGCTGTTGTGGGTCTGCAATTTGGACGTTTTCCACATCCAGTAAACAGAGTCACAGGCTTGTGAGACTGTGGTCCTTGTCATTAGAGGATCAGCACAATTTAACATATCTCAGGTTCCTCTACAGAAGACCATGTGAGAAGCATGTAATTATGCATATTAGAAGCTCTCTTCTCTTTTGGCTAAAGATGTGACTGAGAATAAAACAATTTGAACTTAAAATGCAGTGAATTAAACAAATACACTGCCTTTCTTTGCCACTTCCTTTTTCCTTCTAAAGTTTCATTCATTGCATTTAACTCTGCATCACTTAAATTATACAGACTAATTAACATGGGTAATGGTTTTTGTTTTTCAATTCTATGCCACATTTTTGTCACTCTGTTCCATTGTGAATATTGTCTTTTGGCCTCTTCAGTGATCCCCACACACTTCAACGTCAAGAATCTATTTTCAAAATCTTAGATTTCTGACTTGCCTTTTGCCTCTGCAGTCCCTTTTATAGCTTGGCCAAGTGTGGAATAAACTGTCTCAGCACCAACTGCTTCCCCTCTGAGGAAAGGAAATCCCACATTGAACAGACTCCCTAATTTAACTCTGATAGCGAGTGTAATTTATCTTTGTTTTGTCTGTAAATTAAAATGAATCAGGAATGCCTGCAGCACTTTTCCCTCTTCTTGGCAGAAGTTAAAGGACTCTGCTTAGCCATCTGCCACAAAGTGAACCCAGAGGGCCCAGCAGCACTGGGGAACCAGGCTTTGGAAATTGATCCATGCTTACCTTGCCATCAATGCTGTGTTTGCGAATTGGCTGGGCAGGAAGCATGCGGATGCACATCCAGCCTCACCAGAAGTCACTCACCCTTCATCAGAGATGGGTGTGCTTATCTTACTGCTCTTTGTTTAGGTGGAAATTCCTACAGCTTGGACTCGGTGGATTTCTATCATGCAGCTTTTGCATATAGGATTCAACCATGCATGGGTCCCTACTCTGAGCAACATTAGACTTCTTGATAATCTAAAATAGATCACAGAGTGGACTGATACCAGCCCTATTCAGAGCTACCATCTTGTCATTTGTAAACATTCAACTCTTTCATTCATGTGATTTAGACATAACCTACACTCAACACAGGTTTAGTGTAAATTAATACGTAATACAGAGAAGTTCAAGAGAGTCACATATGTTAAAAGGCCCTAGAAATTGTTAAACTAATGTCATGTCAGGATCTTCTTGTGATGCCAGTCATCTGTTCCCTGCACATTTGTGACATGTTTATCCCAAGCCTTAGCTGGGGAAATTTCCTAGTAATTGAGTCAAATTATGAAAAATAGATTATTTATTAACATTACTTCCTCTATATCCAATTTATTGTTACTGTTTCTTTCAAGGAAATAGTAACTATATTTTATATACGTATCTAAATTTTTCAATCTTTTAAAAATTAGCATGCTTTATTAAGTAAATTCTTTTTTTTTTTTTTGGTACTGGGGATCAAACTCGAGTTCTTGTGCTTGCAAGGCAGGCAGTGGGTATAAGTAAATTCTATATAAAGTATCACACTCTTTTTATTGGCTGACTACACATCCTTTTCCTAAGGCCCTTTTTGACTTTCCATCTGACTGCCCTCTAACAGCTAGCTTTTGTTATGTGGCCATACTGTTGAATCATTTTCATCATAAATAAAATTCTGTATGTGTTATAAAGAAAATAGACTAACCTGATATTTCATATGAAATCCGTTTACCTTGACAAAATCGGTTACAGATTTTTTAATTTGAAAAAATTGACAATCTTACCATTTACAAAAACAGTCATTAACCTACAAAGTAGCAAGTTCTATGAGATCACAGAAATAACTGTGGAGGGAACACAAAAATAGCAGCATTACAATGTTACTACATTATACTAGCTTACTACTTAATAAGGAGCCCTAAGAATTAGTTGTTCTATTATAAAAAAAAATTGATGAGACAATTTCATGGAACAAATATATCTATGACAAAACTCCAGGACAGTTATTCACATTTTCCTTTTCAAAAAAGATGCTAAAAAACTTGGGTCTTTAGTCTGTTATTATATATTCAGAAATTGAAGTTCTAAGGACTAATTGTCATCTATTTAAATATTAGAATATATTTCATTTGACATATTTTCACTAACAGTATCAAATGAAAAGAAGTTTCTTAATTTTAAGATGAGTAACTTTCGGGCCGGGGATTTAGCTCAGTGGTTCCGCTGCCTGTTCTGCAAATGCAAGGACCCAAGTTTGATCCCCGGTACCAAAAAAAAGAATGAGTAACTTTCATTAGTACTCTGTCACAGATCTTGTCCATGTCATTATATTGCATAAAGTTTCATGTAAAATTCATAGCCATTTTCCAATGCATAATATTATCATGTTTAAAATGAGCCTGGTTGAAGAGATTTCTTTAATTTTTATCTTTAACTCTTCATTAATAATATTATTCACTTTGATATTTATAAAACTTTGGCAGGAACCATTTTGAATGTATTTTAGGGAAGAAGCAGGTGAGAATAAAGTGAGAAAGTTGACAATGTTACTATGTAAAAATCTCTGAAAAGAATTTGGAAAGGATAAAACAAATTAACCTGAGATGAAAATGTTGGAAAATAAGGAGTATTTAAAAGGCCTAATTTCTTACATCGTTGGAATAATCAACTTATTTCCCAGTGATTATTTCATGCTGTTGGTTCTATGAATTCTGCATAGTATATACTTTTGCTCAGCACTTTAATATTTCTACACTAATTACTGAAAAGAAAGGAAGAAATTGGTGAATAAAAGCCAGAGAAACTGGGCTTATTCTCATTTTCCAGTAGTACTAATGTATATCCCTTAACCTTCCATATGGTGCTTTGTGTGATGAGTATATAACATTTATATGTTATTAGTGCCTTATTTTTTTCACTTGACTTTATTTCTTATCTAATGAGCCATATATATATTTTTTGTGAGTGTTCTTTGACCCCTCTATTTAAGAAGTAGTAATGAGACAGTATTCCATTTAGGATGTATATAAGGCTGTATTTGCTACCGTAATCTAGTGTGTGACCTCTAGAACAGCAGGTTAGCCAATATATGTTTCTTAAATTCATTGTTCATTTTTAATTTAAAGTATGAAAATGGAGGGCTGGGGACGTAGCTCAGTGGTTCCGCTGCCTGCCTCGCAAGCACAAGGTCCCGAGTTCGATCCCCAGTACCAAAAAAAAAAAAGTATGAAAATGAAGATCAAATACCAGGAACTGAAAACACCGAACTTGAAATGTATTTTGAAACCATGAAAAAGAATGCCGAGTACGCTTGAAACAGGAATCGGAATATTTGTCAGGGTTACCGATCACTGTAAGACAGAATTACTTTTCAGAAAGTATTGAAAATAAAAGTAATTATATGATGCTACAGAAATTTGACCGATTCTCTACAATTTGCCTTTGGAAATGTTTTATGAGGAATAAATTTCCATATACCAGATTATTTGCAGGTTCATGTTTAATTCACTTGCACTGTGCTTTATCAATGCCGAGCCATTTTGTGTAACTTTTCTCTTCTTGATTTGAGCCTTTGGTTTTGCTTTATGTGGAATGCTGGTCTTGTTGTTATCTTTATGTACCATAGTATATAATTCAGCTTTTCCTCATGAATGTATGGTGAATGATTAAACCGTGTGCTTAGAAAAGACAGAGACATAAGTTGTATATGCAAATATGTGTAAATATTTGACCCAGAAAAAAAAAGAATGTTCCTGCCAACAGATAGGTCCTGCTGGACAGGACCTTGAAAGTAACAGATTTTTTTTTTTAAACAGTGAAATTTTAAAAATCTTTTACCTCAAGGATTTCCAGTGGGTATGTGTCAGTGTACTTTAATAAGTACTATCTCACTTGTTGCTGGTGGTGGAAACAAGCCAAGTATCAGATCACACATGTTAGGGATAGGTCTTTCTAAGTGTGGACACCTTGCGGTACTGTGGGGTCTAATTCTGGAGTTTCAGTAACATACCTATGGCCTTTGGTTGTGGTTGAGCTTTTCTTTTTTAATTATTTTTGATGAGTTGTTTTGGAATGGGAGGGGACTCTTAATTATGAGATCAGATCTCATGGGTGAACATAAAGACACTCACTGGTCTTGGGTGAAAACCCTAATGGGAATCAAACTGTCTAATTGTCTCTGTACGCGCTGCTGTCTGATGACCGTGGAATGCTGTTTACCGCGTGATGCGTGTGATACATTGTGCAGAGCCATCTAGCGATGCCTAATAAAACTTTTTCCAAGAGAAGACTCCTGTCTTTTGTCCACAAATGCAGAGTGCCGAGCCATTTCTACACTGTTCTGGGGGGCAGTTCTGGAATGAATCAGAACCCATGGGCGCTGTGGGAGACCAGTCTGAGCATTCTGCAGTGTAGGGAGAGGGGTAAGCAGCAAACAGTATGGGAAGAAGAGCCTGGCAGGGGGTGGTAATCACTGTATTTCAGAGGCAGTTGGGCAGGAGAAGGAGAAGGAGAAGCAGGAAGTCAGATAGGTACTCCTGTTCTATAAGCTACGAATTCTTCCCTAGGTCTATCCCCAGAGAAGGTATGGTGTTTGTTGACTGAATGGTAGATAACAAAGAATTTCCATCAACAGTAAAATGGATAAGTACATAAAGGTGTATTTGTGCAGTGGAATATTACAGTGCAATAAGAATGGAAAAATAAGTTTAAGAAGTTCCTAAGTGATCCATGACACTGCCAGATATTATATTGCACAAATGAAGCCAGACACAATACAGTGGGATATCATGGGATGAATTTACATGGTCAAAACCAGACAAAAGTAATAGGTGATGGTAGAAATCAGAACAGGGCTTATTGTGGGGGTGGGAGTTATTGACTGGGAAGGAGAATGAGGAGACTTCCTGGATAAAACCACTCTGACCTCACCAGGATGTGGAGATGTGGAGATGACTGTGGCATGCAGTGACAGTCCATGCACTGTGCACAGGGGCACAGGCGTATTTTACACCTCCATTGGAAAACTAATGGACCAAAATAATTTAATTTGGAAAATTCAGAAGATAAAAACCACCTGTGGTCCCAGATACAGATAAAATATGACTTTATAATCTACCTAAATGTAAAATGGAACCTGTTTTTTCTTTTATTGTATTTCTTGGCTCATTAAAATACTTTGAAACATGATACTACACTTCGCAAAGCTCATGAATTTTAGCTATGTGCAGTTGCTGTCAGCAGACTGCAGTGAGCATTCCTGAATACAAATCTTAGGGTAAATTCCTAGTGGTGGAATTTCAAAAGCTGAAAACAGTGAAAAGGCACACTCTATCTCATGCATCCAAATGGCACAGTTTAAAGTCGAGGCCAATTTATATTCCTGTCAGCCGTTCACAAGAGCATTAGTTCTATTGGATCACAACCAAAACTTTTCTTTTTTAAAATATTTGCCCACAACAGGTGAAAAAACTGTCATCTGATCTTTTCTAATCATGGCCAAACTGGCTATGTGCGCTGTATCAAATTTCTGCTCTGTAAATTGTTTCCCTTCAGTCCATCTGCACTTAGCTTTTTGTGTTGTAATAAACACTAATAGGAATCTCAGCCCCAAGCTGTTATTTTTAAATGCAGAAATGGTGGCATCCTTTATTGTAGCTACAGTTGCCAACAACACATACATACGTGATGCAGCAGAAGCGTATTTCACTTGCACAACTCACCACAAATGGCCTGTGCTCCAACATAAACTTGAGCTTGGAAGTGCAAGTCTCCTACTGCTCCCATGCTCTGGTTCCGGGCCTGAGCAGGCTGAAAGTCCTCCGCTGCGTGGCCCCTCATTCTGAGCCACTTTTGTCATCTGACACTTACAGCACACCCCTTAATGTGGGCTGGGCAGTGTGTTGAAGGAGGATAGGCCATAACCGGACACCTTGGGAAGCTTTTCACTTGTCCTTGCCTATACTTGTTCCATGTATTTATGAATTAGGTTTATATTTCAGCAAGGTACGATTAGCAGTTTGGTGTTAAAAGTTAAATAAGAACATTGTTTGGATGAAACTTACAGCGGTCAGGTTGTGACCTTCAGACCCCAGTTAAAGGGAGGTTCATGGAGAAGGTCCAGCGTGGCTCCGGGTGGGGCTGCGCATTCAGCCTGAACTCTCCCTCTGCCCTCTGCCGGACCATGAAACACTGGCTGGATTCATCACTTCTCTGACTCAGTTTTCTTTTCTCAAATGGACATCACACTAGATACCTCCAAGGGCAGCTTAGAGAATTCAGAGGTTCGTACATGCTTGAGCACTTAAATAGTACCTGGTTCTCCACAGGCTTTCAATAAAAGTTAGCGCTTATTATTGTTAGTGTCCGTACATTAGGGACTTGCTGGCCAGTACACAGTGAGTCACGGGCGCTGGCCACCAGCAGGCGCGAACCCTAAGTAGTATCCTCACTGGACATTGTGCCTGGAATGCGATGTGAAGTATCCCAAAATGCAAATTATTTTAAGGGATAATGCCTGATATGTACATTTCTGGATCAGCATATTGGTTAAATATAAAATTTTGTTCAATTATCGTGTTAACTGATGCTTCTTTTTTATCCTCTGAATAACTCTTTTACCCACCCAAGTATCTTTGGGAGCCACCATCTTTTCTCCTGCTCCCCGGGTCAATGAAACCAGTTAGTTCAGAGAGTGACTCCTGAGTCAGGTTACGGGTTAGCCCCACCACCACCGTCACTGAACCTGAGACCACAGAAAGCCCGTCTCTGACCTCAAGTCATTCAGCTATGGGCCTGTGGGATTCCAGAAGCTGTGGCTTTGCCGTCCGGAGAAGATGGCCATGGTGACTGGAATGATGCACTTTTGTGCCAGACAACTCCAGAGACTAGAAGAGGCTCAAGGATTTCCCCTAGAGCTACCAGAAGAGTGTGGCCCTGCTACATGTGGACTTCGGACTCCAGTGTCTGCAATGCAAGACAGTAAGGTCCTGCTGTTTGGCCCCTACAGTTTAGAATGAGCTACTGATAGGAGCCGGGACTATCTTGGGGGCGGCCCAGGGATGCCCACTATTCCTGTTTTACTCAAGCATTCAATAAGGGAGCCAGGGTCTGGACTCTCCTTCCCATTGACCTCGGCTTCTCTGATCTCCGACCAGTACTGCAGCTGAGCTCTGAGATCAAGCATCCCAAACTGACTGGCACCCAAGTCCACCGTGTTTGTAAAGGCTGGGTTCCAAAATCGACACCACAACATAGATGCGGTCCGAGCAGTAAGAGTGGGTCACAGAGCTGGGCCCAGAGTGACCGCCTGAGGCACGGTCACCACCTGTTCGCTCCACAAATACTTTCCTCGCACCTAACATGGGCCAGGAACTGGGATAATCTTGCTGATTGATCAGTGAACAAGACACAGAAATGCCTGCTTTCATGGGTCTCACATTTTATAGTAATGGATAAAACAGGTAAATGAGCCAAATAGATAAATCATTGAAGTGAAAAGGAGAAAATAAATCAGGGAAAAGATGGACAGTGGGGTTAACAGGCTGAGAAAGTCTGACTAAATGTGGAAGAGGATGAGGGAACAACCTGGATGAACTCCAGACGCTTTCAAGACAAAAGCAACAGCAGGAGAAAGGGCCTGGCCCAGGGCAAGAATAGAAGGAGGAGAGAGGACTACCAGAGAGGTGAGGGAGGGCGGTACTGGCGAGCGAGGTGGAGAATGTACGGACACTTGCTCTTGCTTGAGTGAGATGAAAAGTTTCCTGGAGGCTGGAGGCAGATGGGTAATGGGGATAGCCCCGCGTCCCAGCAGAATCTGTGGCTGCTACAGTGAAACTGGGCAGAAGCGATCAGGAGGCAGGAAGCCTGCTAGGAGGACACACAATAAGGCAAGGTCTGGTGGTGGCTCAGAGCAGGATGGTGGCAGTGACTGCAGTGAAAACGTCAGGCTTAGGTACACAAGAGGATTTGCAACTGCACTGGAGAAGCAAATCATCTTCCCATTCAATATGGCGTTTCTGCATTCACTATTATAGCAGGAAGACCCTACATCAGTGGAATCAAAACTTCAGGTCTCAGGGGCTCCCACCCTGCACTGTCCATCTATCCCAGACCAGGGATAGATAAGGCAATCAGGGCCCCCGACCAGCTGGCTTTCCAGGGTTCATGGCACATGCACTGTATGTTCACAGTTCCTGCAAATCTACCAATGCCTGGTTCAGTGGCTGCAGCCCTGAAGCTCCGCAGGCCTGGGCAGACTCCACTTCTCATCAGACTCCTCTTACCTAGGTAGGTGTTCGCTGTAAGGAAGCGATCAGTGGACTGGGGGCAGAAGTTCTCGCAAGAATCATTCTAAGAACAGAAGAGAGAAACATTTTTTTAAAAAAATCAGAAAGGTGAGAGTAAAAGAACTTGGAATTCTCTATTGGTCAAACATATCAAATGAACAAAAAATAGGGGAAAAAGTTGCCCATCAACCTGTCAGAGGACATGTGATGGTTAGGGCGGCCTGTCACCTTGACTGGAATGAGCGACTCCTGGAGAGGTAAGTGGTCATGCGGTGGTGTATCATCGGGGGATTCAGCCACTGCTGTTCGTGAGTGAATGTGCGCTTAGAAGGCAGGGCCCTGTGGAAGGAGATGTAACTGGCGTTCCCTCGGGGGGCTCTGTCTCTCCCTGGTGCTCTTCCTCTATGCTCTCCTCCCCAGCCGCCATGAAGCTTTGTTCCTGCCATACAGCCACCCAACCATGAACTGAAACCTCTGAAACCATAAACCAGATTAACCCCTCCTCCCTTAAACTGTACATTCTGTCCCAGTGCTGAGACAGGACAGTTGGGAAACAGAAAGTGCCCCTGGCCTTTTTTCATCTCTCCGGCCTCCTCTTATCTTCCAGCCAAACCATTTCCGTGGTTAAAGCATTCATTTCCTCTTTATTCATTCAACAAATACTGCTGAGCCTCTTAGGAGGGCAAACTCCCCAAAAGAAAAGCAAATATCTGCCCCTGTGCATGTGAGAAGGGAGCTGGAGGTGCCGAACTATGTCCCTTGGGCCACTGCAGGGCCTCGCTCGCAAATTAAGGGGAAAATCTTTACATGGCCCAGAAAGGATGCACACAAATCAACTAGCTGAGAAAGAAATCAGGAAGACAATTCCAGTCACAATACCTTACAAAATAGAAGCCTAGAAATCAGCCTAACCAAGGGGGTGAAAGACCTCTACAGTGAGAATTTCAGAGCACTGAAGAAGACATTAGAAGATGGAAAGATGTTGGAGAGTTTTGTAGTTAGGTCTTAGTATTTATCTGTCTAGTAAACGACGCGGGCCTGAGGGGAAAAAAATATTAACAGACAGAACTAGGAGAGAAAGCGGGGGCCAGGATGCCCAATGTCAGTGTAACCAACAAAGGTGCTGGCCAGTCCCAGTTCCGGGCACTGACTTTTACTGGCAATCCACTGGGTAAAGGTGAGCCATGAGTGGTTTCTATGGAGATTCGTGTAAACAAGGCTCATGGAGGACAAGACAAAGCATTTTTGAATTAGGAGCAGAATAGACAACATACATGTTATAATTAGAACATTGTCCTTCTAGTGAGAAGGTTTTAGTTGTGGAAACAGAATTTGGGTGCGAGTTACTCTGACCTCAGCACATAGGGTTTGGCCAGACTCACTTCTCAAAATAAACCACTTGTGGGGTTAGCTCTTCACAGCCTGCTTTGGGCATAATCAATATTACCGTCCTCTACAGAAAGACATCCCATTTTCATGGATCAGCAGAATTAATACTGTGAGAATGGCTGCATCCCCGAAAGTGATCTGCAGGTTCAATGCCATCCCCATCAAAATTCCAACAACATTTTTCACAGAACTAAAAACACTATTCTAAACTTTATATGGAAACACAAAAGACTCAGAAGAGCTAAAGCAGTCCTACGTAAAAAGAGCAAGGCTGGGTATATCACAATGCCCTACTTCAAATTATACAACAAAACTATATTAAAAAAAAAAAAACAGCATGGTACTGGCCAAAAAATAAACCAGTGGAACAGAATAGAGTTCACAGAAACAAACCCACACAACTACAGCCATCTGATTCTTAACAAAGGAGCCAAAAACATGCAATAGAGAAAACACAACCCCTAACAAATGGTTATGGGAAAACTGGACATTCACCCGCAGAATATTGAAATGACATCCCTATCTCTCACCCTCCACAAAGCATCAATTCAAAATGGATCAAAAACCTAGGTATAAGACCTGAAACTTAGAAACTGCTGGATAATAGCATAGGGGAAACCCTTAAAGCTATAGGTATAGGCAAGGATTTCCTGAATAAGACCCTAATGGCACAGGGAATAATATCAAGAATCAACAAATGGAGCTACCTCAAATTTAAACGTTTTGCACAACAAGGGAAACAACCAAGTGAAGAGACAGCCTATAGCAGTGGTGGTGACCCTATGGCACGCGTGCCGTGGCACGGTTTGTACTGGAACCCTACCAGAGCAAAGGAGACCTCCCCCACAGAAGCACATTACACAGGTACCCGGTGTTGGCCCCCGAATTTCAATCGACTTTTGGCTTTCAGAGCTCCAGTTACACAAAGGACACCTGAGAGGTCCAGGGTCTTTGACTGATCCCAGATGTCCCTCGTGTATGGCTGCCTTTGGCCCGCCTCGCCCCTCGGTCACCCGACCTGGCCGCGATGCGCCCTGCGTGACTTCTCTCTGCTTTCTGCCTCACCCCTCCACTCAGGTGGCCCCCATTTCTGGAGGTACAGCCATTGCTGGTGTTGTCACCTGCCAGCCCCCCAAACTTCCCGCCCCCCCAACTTCCCGCCCCGTGACCCTGACCGGCTGCCCCTGGGTACTTGCGGCAGGCGGGATCCTGCGTGTGCTGCCTGCGTGATCTGCCTGCTCGACCCTCGCGGCGGGGCTCCTCTGAGAGCAGACGTGGAAATCTCCACGCAGGTTTCTGCCAAGCGCTCGGCGTCAGCATTACAAGGGAGCGGGACAGTGAGGAGCAGGGCAGGGAGCTGGCTGGGTGTGGCGGAGCCGTGGGAGGGAAGCTAGAAAGCGGGAAGGCCCTGCGGAGTCCTGAGAGGCGCAAGCGGCCTGGCTTTGCAGCTGCACGGCCAGGCGCCGCGGGGAGCTGCTCCGGAGCGAGCGTGGACTAAGAGGTTGGTCCTCATCCGACGTCGCCAGTGAGGGGCCACTGAGAGCCGCTGTGGGCACGCTGGTGGCTGGGCAGGGACAGGGGTCCTGGGTGGGTGGGGAGTGGGGGACTTGTCACTGCTCCCGTCCCTGCCCAAGTGGGCCCCTGTCCCAACGTGTACAGGAAGAAGACTGTGGGCCACAGGGCCCCGGGGGCACAGAATGAGCCCTGCCTCCCAGCCCAGGAGCCTGGCTTCGCTCCTCAGTGTGGAGGCCGAGGGCCGGGGTTCAGCCTCCTGTGGCTGGAACACCAGGAGAGCCAGCCTCTGACACGCCGGGCACACTCCGGAGTCAGGGTGCCCAGCAGAATCATAGACAGCGGGTGTAAGCCACTTGCACAACTCCATGGTGTTCAATTTTGCTTGCACAAGTGCGTAGCAGGGATAGACACACTCAGGGTACTATGAGCCAGATGCCCCAAGCTGCCAGCGGGGAACAGCAACTCCTGGCTTTGCCAGTGGGTGACCTCGGATCTCGCTGCCATCTGTCCCAGCCCAGTCCAACCCGGAAGGACCACGGATTTGCTGGCCAAGTTAGAGCTGAGCTTGCCAAGTTAGACATGATTTCATGCCGTGGGGCTTTTTCTAGGGCTGGCTCTGTTTTCTTTAGCCTATCGCCTGCTTAAATCGGGGCCAGGAAGTGGCAGGTGAGGAGGCAGCCCCAGGAAATAGTCCAGGAGGATTCGTGGGGAGGGGCGTGCTTTTCCCCTCGATCAGCAAGCACCGAGTCCCTTTCAACACCCAGAAATAGACGCCACTGAGCTCTCTCTCCTCTGACCATAAAAAGCAGCTGGCCCTGTAGGGAAGGCTGGCGGCTGCAAGCTCCAGGAGGCAGGAGCAGGAATAAAGGCTGCCTGAGGAGCTTGGGAGTCCTGCTGCTGGCTCGATGCTGGAGCCATTCAGTCTCCTGGGCAAGAAACCCACCAGCTGAACACAGGCCGAGTCTCGCAAACAGTCCTGCGGCCACGGGGGCTCGGGCCACTCCTCGTTTCTGAGCTGCGCCCTGTGACTATTTACTAAAACTCGCCAGGCCGCTGCTGCTCTGTGATGACCTCGAACCCGAACTTCAGCCCGAACCCGAACCCGCGTCACACTGCAGGCAGCCACTTCTGTGACGCAGTTCTAGCTCTTTGCACCGGGTTTTGCGTGCTCGTCTGACATGCGTTCGGGGAAACTGAGCATCCGGGAGCCGGTGTAAGCCGTGACCGCAGCCTGAGGAGCCGGGCCCTCCTGCGGGGGTTGAATGCCGGGTCCCTGGCACGCGGAGGAGAGGCGGTGGGAGGCGGGGCGCGGCCGGAGCGCTGCACGCCGCTGGCCTCTGCCCCGCAGGCCTGGCCGAGAGCGGGAGGCGCCCGGCTGGGCCCCACAGACACCGGGACTGTGGCCATCAGGCCAGGGCCAGGGACTCCCGTCTGCACCCGGCCTCTAGGGCCCTCACTCCCACAGCGCCCCCCAGCGGCACAGGGCCTCCTGGACGGAACTGAAAGTCTGAAAGTCCTGCCGGGCGACGCTCTGTTTGCACGTTTCGTCCACGTCTGCAGTGCATCGTGACTGCGCTCCTCCCGTGGCGAAGGGACTGTACGTAACAAACCTGCCGTTGTCATCCCTCTCCCTCCCCTGGCTCCTTCCCTCCCTCCTCTATCTCTCCCTCCCCTTTCCCTTTGAGAAAGATCTCTCTCCCTACTGCCCATTACCTCTCTTTTATTTTGTTCTCTGTTTATAGTTGGGGTTTCTCATATAAGAGGGACCATGCATATTTGACCTTGTGTGTCTGGTTTATTTCACTTAACATTGTGGTCTCCAGGCGCATCCATTTCCCACAGATAACTCAAGCTTATCCTTCTTTAAGGCTGAGTAGTACTCCATTGTGTGTAAATACCGCATTTTCTGTCTTTAACTCTTTCGGGAAGACATCTAGAAGGGGAATAGCTGGGTCAAGTGGAATTTCTGGCTTTAGCTTTTTAAGGACTTTACATCCTGATTCCCACTTCACAGAAGATGTTACAGGTGGCTAATAAATACATGAAGAAATGCTCAGCATCACTGGCCATTAGCGAATGCAAGTTAAAACAACACTAAGAGTCCATGTCACCCCAGAAAGAGTGGGCGTCATCAAGAAATTGAACAACAGCGAGTGCTGGCGCGGACTGGGGAGGGAACCTCTCACTGCTGCCGGGGAGGGCAAGCAGCCCAGCAGCTATGGGAGTCAGTGCGGAGCGCCGAGGATACCTTCTAGAGCCCACGCCTCCGCCACTGAAGTCAAACAGGAGGAGAAGGGCCCGGAGACCGAGCTCGAGCGGGAGGGAGCGCAGAGGAGGAGAGCCGTGAGGCGGCGCCACACACAGCAGCCCAGAGCACACGCACGCACCGAGCTGCCTCAGAACTGGCTTCTAGCAGTCTGGAAGAGGCTCAGGCAGGACAGGAGCGCTGTGTTGACCCCACAGAGAGTGATGAATGCCAGCAGCTGGTATGCTACTGCACACCTGTAATCCCAGCTCTCTGGAGGCTGAGGCAGGAGGATTGCTGCGAGTTCAAAGCCAGCCTGGATCAAGAGAGAGGGAGGAGAGAGAAAGAGAGAGAGGGAGAGAGAGAGAGGAGGAGAGAGAGAGGGAGAGAGGGAGGGAGGGAGAGGGAGAGAGGGGGAGAGAGGGAGAGAGAGGGAGAGAGGGAGAGAGAGGAGAGAGAGAGGGAGGGGGGGAATTCTAGAAACCAGAAGATTCTAGGGTGTGGGCTGGCAGGTGGGAGGCCAACAGCTGTTTTTCCAGCATACCCCCATGGCTGTGTCTGTTTGTATCTTTATAGATCCATGCAAGTGTGTGGATATACATAAATAACCATAAAGGAATAACTCGTTTGTAAATAATATTTCGGTAAAATAGATGGTAAATTAAATTTACGAATAATTTCCTGGCTCCACGAGTGGAACTACCCAATGAATCCCTGCTGTGAAGAAACAGACGTTAAGTAGGAGGGCCGCGCTGCTGCCAACAGGAGGACAAGGCGCTGGCTCTGGCGGCAGATGAACGTCCCCAAGTCCACCTGCCGAGTGGGCTCTGACCCGGAAGCGCGAACGCGTCCATCTGGAAAATCGACAGCTGCCAACGAGGTCCTCGGGGTCCCAGGACGGGGCCCACGCAGACTCTGGAGGGAGGCCAGGGGCGGGGCCCTGGGAAAGTGGGAGGACAGTGCTACGGGGCAGCCCGGGGCGGGCTCTGGTTCACCCGGGACCCGGCCTGGCCGCCTCAGCAGGCCCTCGGGTGGCTGGACGGGGCCTCAGCTCGCAGCCTGGCTCCCTGCTGCCTGGGAGGAGGTCAGCAGCTCTCCCCGCCAGGCCCGGCCCTCAGCAGCCTACCGTGGACTGAAACCTTACAAACTGTGAGCCAAGCAAACCTCTCCCCTTCAGGTGTGGGTGTGGGTACTGGGTCTCAGCTAGGAAGGAAATAACCGAGACAGGAGGCCGAGGGGAGTCTGTGCTCTCGGGAAGCAGCAGAGGCGGAGAGGAAGCCACGCAGGGCCAGCAGCCCTCCCCCTCCTCCTCGAATTCCCTCATAAAAAACAAGTGTGCCTGTGAATTCATACGCAGCAAATTTTCATGGCCTCAGCTGGAACTAGTAAGCTCCTCATGTTGTTTACATCTTCTGCAATTCGCAAGATCTTACCTATGTTTAGGGCCCACAAGCTTCGAGGAAGGAAGAGAGCATTCTGGTGCTAAGGGTGGAAACCCTCGTCAGGAGAGCTGGTTACCAGCACCCAGGACAGACAAACAGAGAAGCCGAGAGAGAGAGAGAGAGAGAGAGAGAGAGAGAGAGAGAGAGAGAGAGAGAAAGAGCACCTGAAATCCCATGACCATCTTCACATCTTATATTTCATAATTTACATTTATTTTGAGCTGTTTCTAATCTAACATATACTAAAATGTAAGCTTCTTGTGGAGATAAGCATTAATAGCCAAACCAAGAAATGGTTATTAAAACTGTAATAATTACAGTCATTCCCCCTCTCTCTCTCTCTCTCTCTCTCTCTGTCTTGATACGAAAGAGTGTCAAATTCTTGCATTTCTAAAATGTCTAAAATGCCCTGAGTCCTCCAGGTAGCAAAGTCTCCTTTGCTTTTAACTTATTCTTACCTCTTTATGAGTCAGTTTATTATGTTAGGAAATAAGCAACTCGTATGATGAATGATGAAATTCACAGTGGTGAATTTACTAAAGTCAATGACTAATTTTCTTTTTTAATTTTTCTGATAAGTAGACAGGAGTAAAGACATTTTCCCCTACTGGATATATACATATAAACTTTAAAAGATACAAATTGTAATACATTCCCATCACTTGTATCAATATTGTTTGATCAATAGGATGATTGCCTTTAAAATGCTAACCTTATACCACACTGCTACACGACATGTGTAATCAGTCAGCATGTTAGAGGTTGTAGATTTAATGCATGTAAAAAGAGGCCTGGAGTAATGAGAGGGAATTTATTCTGACATCTTTCAGAGGTCATTTGACTTAGTGAAATAGGAAGCTTTTGCTTCCAACAGACTTGTCTCTCTCAAGAACTGCCTTGCTATATAGTCTGGAATAAATTAAATAATCTTTCTAAACCACAATTTCTTCATTTTCAAGTGAAGAATGCAATACAACATAATTCACAGGATTCTTGCAAATTACAACTCAGATCATCTATGTCAAACCTTAGCACAGTGCACGAAAAAACCTTAGATGCGATGTTGTTTTGTTTTTTTGTTTTTTTGGTACTGGGGATTGAACTGGGGTCCTTCTGCTTGTGAGGCAGGCAGCGGAACCACTCAGCTAAATCCCCAGCCCTAAAATTAGACATTGCAGGATGGTTGTTTTTTTGTGGCTTTTTTTGGTACCGGGGATCAAACTGAGGACCTTGCGCTTTCGAGGCAGGTGCCGGAACCACTGAGGTAAATCCCAGGCCCTGCAAGATGCGATGTTAAGGCAAACTGGAACAATACGAAAAACATTGTTATCCGAAATAATATCACCTATAAAACAGAGATAACAATAGCTAGTCTTAAGTCATATTGTGAGAAATGAATGAATTTATTCATGTAAATTGCCCTGAAAAAAACCCCTAGAACAAAATAAATAATCAAGAAATGATAGTCATTATCATCAATGGATGTACCTTTGACAGTAAAGTCATCTTTTACCCACTTAAGTGCTTGTAATTTGCTGCTCTCTGGTGTTCATTTGGGGTATTACAATTCTGAATCGTAACTGTTAAACTAGTAACTTGGGAGTCAGAAGTCTCTCAAGCTGTTATCATTTGCATACTATTTTTGCAATCTCCAAGAGAACTATTGCTTGTTTACTATTTCTATTTAAATTGATTTACTTTTAAGGTAAAAATATATTCCTTAAACTACTTTCCTATCATTATGATAAATGAAACATTGGTATAGTTTTTCTTCTTTAATTTCCTCTGTGACCCATTGGTTATTGAGAAGTGTGTTGTTCAGTTTCCATGTGTTTATGAAATGTTTGCAGTTTCTTTTGCTATTGATCTCCAATTTCATAATATATAGGGGATAACTTCAGTTCCTTTGCACTTACCTAAAAAAGTTCTATGAGCAAGTATGTGGTCTATTTTGGAGAATGACCCATGTGCCACTGAAAAGAATGTGTATTCTGATTTTGTGGGGTTGAACACTCTGTAAACATCTGTTAAATCCATTTGTTCAAGAGTTTGATTGAGTTCTAGTATTTTGTTGCTTGCTTTTAGTCTAGTTGATCTATCTATTTGTGACAGTGGGGTATTGAGTTCCTTCACTACATTGTATTAGTGCTTATATGATTTTTCATGTCCGTTAGTATTTGTTTTATATAGTTGGGCACACTAGTGTTTGGTGCATAGATATTTATGATCATCATCTCTTCCTCTTGGATTGTTCCCTTTACAAGGATGTAATGTCCTTCTTTGTCTCTCTCTTTTTTTTTTGGTACCGGGGATCGAACTCAGGACCTTGTGCTTGCAAGGCAGGCACCGGAACCACTGAGCTAAATCCCTGGCCCCTTTCTTTGTCTCTCTTAATCAGTATGGGTTTGAAATCCACTTGGTCTGCAAAGAGGATAGCTACTCCTGCTTTTTTTCAGGTTCATGTCACATGCAGTATTGTTTTCCACCCTTTAACTTTCAGTCTATGAGTTTC